TATGTACTGTTTAAAGACGACTACTCAAGTTATCGCATGGTATACTTTATTCAAAACAAGCATGAGGTAAAAGATAAGTTAATACAAATGCTGAATGAGACAAAGGCCGTTGGACACACAGTCCAAGCAATACTAAGCGACAACGGAAGGGAATTTGACAACAGAGCCGTGAGAGAAATTTTGAAAAAGCACTGGATTCAGCAACGCCTTACGATGCCATACACACCAGAACAAAATAGGTGCAGTGAGAGAAATAATCGTACATTAGTTGAAGCCGCTAGCCATGATGCACGCAAGAGGTGAGTTACCGCAAGCACTCTCGGCAGAACTCATCAACACAGCCACTTATGTGCTCAATCGCACAGGTCCAACTAGAGTTGACAACAAAGTGCCGTTTGAATTTTGGCATGGGAGGAAACCCAGAATCTCTCATCTGTGTATTATTGGTAGTGAGTGCTACGCTCACATTCTCCAACCGGATAGAAAGCCAGTAAAAGGCAAACTCATTGGGTATAAAAATGACGATGGCTATCGCGTCTGGGATGGTCAAAAGATAATTCGATCCAGAGATATTACTGTCAAAACCGATGTTGAATTTAGTCTCCACAAAGTTTTCTGATTATCATATAGAAATAGAGGGAGATATTTCAGATAGACCAACGTGTATTTCTGATGATCCTTCAGACGTAGAGGGAGCCAGGCAACGACAAACATTGGCCCCAATTGAGAACCCTGACTGCAGGATTAACTTCAGACATTCAACAGGAGGACAAAATACCTCATTAACAACTTGTCGATGAAAATTTTGAAGATGCTGAAGAGTTGGATGAAGTTCATGAACCGGAACTTAATTCAGAATCTTCGCATGGAAACAATGACGTAGAATCAAGGTATAACTTGAGAGACAGGAGTACCATACCACGTCCGAAAAGATAATTATGATGACTTTGTCTACCTTCTGGACATAGAAAAGTCTTCTGAAACACTTAAACAAGCTATGGAATGAGAGGTCGGTACCGATTGGCTGCAGTCTATGCAAAGCGAGATAGATTCGTTAAAGAAGATCGATGTCTGGACGCTATGTAAATTACCACCACATAGGACGGCGCTGCCCTGTAAATGGGTATTTAGGATCAAGCGGAATCCTGACGGATCCATTGATAAGTACAAAGCGCGCCTTGTAGTCAAAGGATTCAAACAGAAAAAAGGAATTGAATACGATCAAACATTTAGTCCTGTAGCAAGAATGTCTACCATTAGAGCTTTGCTTAGTGTGAGTGCCAGGGAGAACCTGTTCTTAACACAATTTGATGTGTCATCAGCCTTCCTCAATAGAAAATTAGATGAGGAAATAAACATGAAACAGCCAGATGGTTTCAGTGATGGCTCGTTGAAAGTATGGAAATTAAAGAAAAGTCTCTATGGACTAAAGCAGGCTCCACGTTGCTGGAATTCACGCTTTGAAGAGATTTTACTTGATATGAACTTTCAACAGAGTGATTCTGACAGCTGTCTTTTCATTAAGAAGGTAATGAACAAGAAACTGCTCATAACATTGTATGTAGATGATGAGCTTATTAGGACAACACTATGTAGTCCGTTGCTTAGCGACCAGCTATTGTTTTGTCAGTGTTGTATTGTAAGAAAAATTGATATTGAAGTATACACTTATTATCGTCAAAGGTTCTTTATTTTAAACTATATATCTCCTACCGCTTTATCTTTAACATGGTAGCAGAGATTTAAAGATACAGTGTGAATGTAAATAAGTTTTATTTCTGGGAAAGAAAATATTTTACTTTTCTTGCAAAAACTTGTAACTAGCCTGACGTCACTATGGAAAAGGGGATTGCAGAGGCATCGAAAGTTCAAGTAATGCACCTGGATGACAAAAACTATAAGCATTGGAGATATAGAATTGAAACAGTGTGCAAGGCAATTCCCGGAGCTGATGATATTTTAAACGGAAAAACCCGTAAGCCTGTTGAACCTTCAGCGACTGGTGTCGTTACCACCGATGCTGCCGCTAAGACGAAATATGAGAAGGATTTGTATCAATTTTTATCAGTTGACTGTGCTGTCTTGATTTTGATGACGACAAACATGACAGATGAGATACTAGACCAAGTCATGCGATACAAAAGCTCTAAAGAGGTATGGGAT